CAATTGAGAAATACTGGGCTATTGTCAAGCGGAACCTAAAGAAGACCAAAAAAACTGCTAAGGGCGAGCAGCAGTTCAAGGCAAACTGGCTTTCTGCGGCGAAGAAGGTGGACAAGGTGGCTGTACAAAATCTGATGGCAGGGGTCAAGCGTAAGGCCCGGCAATTCGGATTTGGAAAAGCGGAAGCCTAACTGAATATTTTTCCTGAATTTTATACTAATTGAACTTGAAAAAGAAATTTAATTTGATTTTTTAGATAAACGATTTCACCGATTTACACGCGTTTTCCCTTGACCAAATTTTGACCGTATCACCCTTTAGTACCAATAGACTGAGTATATTCAATCTTTACTTTTCTCAAATTCAGGAATTTTTCCCTAGAAAATCCTGGAAAAACCTGGGAAAACATGAGACAAATTTACTCTTCGCTGAGTTCCTGCACTTTATTTCTTATTTCTGAGATAACTAAACTCAAATTTGGGTCGTTCTCATTCGCCGTGATATCACCTTGATATCGGCGCCGGTGGTTAGCGTGATTACCTCTCACCCTAGCCTGGGTCCAATCTCAGTCGGCGCCACCGGCATGTTCTAAGGCATAACATCTCTGATCACGCCTTCCTTCGGGAAGTAAAGCCGTTGGTCCCCGGTTGAGTTGATGGGTCGATTGGTAGGGTCCAGGGGTGGGAGCTGCCTCCCTGGCGTTGGTAGCATTTGAGCTCAGTACGGAAAACAAATCTCGCGTCACTTTTCAATAGGTCCTATCTACATTGATCGATTCTCTTCATCGACACTCTCTTTCGTAAATAACTTGGCTTCACAAATGTTTCCTGCCGTCTTCGTTGAATGTGATGCTAGATTGTTGCTTCTTCCATCGAAAATATCCGGCCGTGGCGATTCAAAGTTGATCAAGGTTGATCAAAATAATTTGTACGCCTGCTTCCAGTTTGATTACATGAGCATTTTGTGTGATCGTTGGTTCTGAATATGGACAAACAGGCAGATGAATTCGTTTCCTACTCTTTACTGTGATAAGCTCGGTGGCCCTGAAAAGAGCCGTTTTGTTGCCAAAGTTGGTGATGATTTAACCTCCGAAACCAAACAGAGTGCGTCTCTGTCACTTTAAAACGTAGATGACATCCATGGCCACTTACGCTTGGCGTGTTTAGTGTAGGTGACAGCATCACGGATCTCATTTTTCAGGAACACCTTCAGCACACCTCGTAAATCAGACCGTAGATACGTCGGACACCGCCACGGCGAGCCAGACGACGGATGGTGGTTATCTCGAAGAATTTGCGTTTGATTCTGAATATGGCGATGAGTGTGCAAAATATTACGCAATTCCATCCTCCCTATTTGCACGCGCCCGAGAATCGGAGGCGAATGCCACTTCGACTTGTTTCGTCTACTTACTACTCTCTGACGACTGTGCTGGGGAAGCAGCATATGCATGTAGGTAATTGTTGGATTTGTTAGTTAATTCGACGCTTTTGGACAATGCTGGACTTTTACCAGTTTTTCAATAGTTTCTTGTTGAAAAGCAACATTCAGAAGCATTGTTATCGATGCGTAGCCATATTTTTGATCGATTGGCGATAACATTATTGAAATTGGACCAGGGGCAGCTGAGTTATTAACGTTCAAAATCTTTCTTAATTTGTTACATGTTCCATTTTCGGTTTTCACAAAGTGTACCCCCATATAGAAATCAAAGACGTAGTCCTACGTCAAAATAAATAAAAAAATAAAAAAAAAATAAATGCATAAAAAAAATTAATAAATTATCACGATTCACTATTTTTTCAGCTTTTTTTTCGTTCCGGCCAATTCAGGAATATTTTATGCATGATAACACTGCTTTATTTAAAAAAAATTTCATTGTTCCGAAACATAACACTTATCAAGGTGAATCCTGATCATATAAACCTAACCGTCATCAAATTTTCCTCCCGTGATCTTTGTTGGTATGCAGAGGTATACTCGGTCTTCAATACAGCAAAGATCACGCTCTACCATCCCTTTTCAATTATCACCTGATTGCAAGGACGTGACTAGTGCCGTTATTGATCCTTTCATATTTGGCAGCACTGAAAATTGTACAATGAGAATGAACGACCACTCTCAGCCAGTCATTCAGTTGATTCATTGCGCAATTTAATTGGTTTGGATCAATCACAGAGTAGCAATATATGCAGTCAGTCGAAACTACACACTTTAATTAATGATTATTTTACAGGAGTCAGTATTTCTTCACTTTGTAATGAATTGCTGAAAAAGTTAGTAAAAAAGTCAATCAATAAAATAAACAAATTTTATTTTCTATCAATAAATTGGATTTACAGAACTAAGGATGTACAATAGACTGATGCAAAATTTGCCTTCACATTTCTTAAATGGTTTAAAATCGGGTCCTGATTAGCCTCCCAAAGTTACAACTTATTTGGTTAGAAACAGACTTCGCACAAGCCATTTGAAGTTTACATGTAAATTACTATGGGAAATGTCAACTTTTTGTTCAATGCCATCTAGTCTTTTTCCATATTGAGCTGCGAAACAGTTCGATAGCCTTTCTTATAGAAAATCAGCTACAACTTTGCTGAAGATCGTTTCTGTGTAAAACGAGACAGGAAAAAGTTATTAATTATTTAAGAAATTGGTAAACTTATGACATGATCAAGCAGCTGCTCTGTAGGCAACACTGTATTTTACAGTGTGACATAGTAGCCATGATATTTGTGTCCTATTTAACGCCCCAGAAACAACAATGTTGCCTTCTGAGCAGTTGATTGAGCATGATCATAAGACATCAGCGCATTGAACTATTGATTACTTTCGATCCGTTGGAGGCGAACCAGCCCAAGGCTGAAAGCCTCCTTAATAAAGTTAAATAAATAATAATACTTTCGATCCTTGCAATTTCCTACAAGTACAGTTGAAAGCTTTTGAAGCAGACCGATATGGTGAATTATTAGATAGACATGAACAAAAATCTTGGTTTTATTATAGTAATTCCCATACAAACTTCAAATGGTTTGTGCCATCTCAGTTTCTCACCAAATGGGTTCAAATTTTGAGAGGTTAGTCAGGATCCGATTTGGAATCGTTTAAGTATTGTGGAGCGAAAATTTCTAATTTTGTATCGCTCTAATGTACAAGTTTGGAATAAATTTTCCACAGATTTTGTTTTATTTTTAGCGAACAGTTCCGCAATTTGAAAGTCCTGTAAAATCATACTGACAGGATTAGTGTTTTAAGCTTCCGGTTTGTTTTGAGCCTATTTTTTGCATAATGAGATAGGGTAGAGAACTAGTTTGGCCTAAACGCTCATTTTGGGCCTATCAATCAGAAATCATCCAATAAATCAATTATTTCAGCGTTGACAGGTAAATTATGCATTTGGTACGATACTTTATTTAAAATGCTACCGAACGAAGTCAATAATTACGCGTGATATGAATGTTTGCACCCAATATTCTCAAATACAAAAGAAGCGCTCCAACCGAATCAATTTTTATCTTCATCCGATAGGCCGAAGTGAATTCATTGGCGTTTCAATGCGTTAGGCCGAGTTTAGAATTCGTAGGCCGAGTTTGGCGTCAAGAAGCAGTGTTAGACTTTGAACAATATCTTAACAAATTGTTTCTCTTTATAAAATCTTACGGTACGTACGGTAAGGTTAATAAATTTGGAAGCCATCAGTAATAATTACATCCCGTTTGGTGATAAGCTGCGCTAGATTAAGAAAGACTAAGTGCGGGTTGTGCTTAGTCCGGAAATGGGGTAGTTACCGCTATATAAAATGTTTTTACGTATAATTTTTGTTTAGAATTGGAGGAAGCAATTTTTTTGTTTCGATTTAAGATATCTTTTTCCAATATTTTTGAAAATTAAAATCGTTTTTTTTTTTGTGGTAAGCTTCCGTTAAGGCAAGATTCAATCCACGAATGGCTTATTTTACAAGGCAAATCCGGTCATTTGTGGATTCTATCAACCTTGTCCATATAGTCAGCGTCAAATTCGTTTCCAAGATCCAAGATTTCACAATAATCTATATAAATAAAGATTTTCTGAGATTGTTAATATCTTTTCCAAGCTCCCACTACCCTCTTGTCTCAGTGACCTTAACCCAGTGATGGCCAAAGTGCGTCACAAGTGCGACAAATATGACCAACGAACCTCTTAACCCATTGGATATGGAAACATCACATCCTGATAAATGAAATGCTGAGCATATTTTCCATGAAACATGGCGTGTTAATTGTGAGCATTCGTGGAGAAGAATACAAAACAAAGGTTTCATTTCAACAGTTTTGCAATGCTATAGCCATTCACTTAGGCCACAGGCTCCATCTCATTAAAATGGAAACGTTGTTGCTTGATTTCATGGCGCTTCGTCTGACTTGTGACCTCCTTTTGACGACAGCCAGCCAGCCAGCCAGGTCTAAAAAGAGTTGTACAGGAAATGCTTTCTTTGTGTGTTGTCTCCGCATTGGGTGGCAAAGACGTTTCACGTTTTTCTCAAGTCTGTGCCATCCATTACAGCAGCAGCGTGGTACAATTAAATTTAATTTATGTGAAATTTATACTACCAACCCTTGGCCAAACAGCGCGGTCAGGGGTACAATTTTCCACGACTGATCCTACTTCCGTTCATCGTCCGTCTCTTGCTGGGGCATGGAACTTTCGAATCTTCACGAAATCTTTTCCTTGTTATTAGCCGTGAATGGGGGAATTTACTACCAGAACTTAGGTTAGAACTGACCGTTCAGCAACCATCGTCTATTTGGACAGTTTGAGAAAAATTTCTCATTCATTATTCATAAGCTTTCGTCTTCATTGAAAGATTTATCTTCGGGCCATTGTTAGATAGAAGGAAACTGAGGGGAAAATATAAAAAGTGCTTCATCAGTTACTTTGAAACTGTTCTCATTCTATTGTTCTTGACTTCTTTTATACTTTCAAAAAACAACAACAATGCGTGGAACATCTACGTCACACAGGTCGGCATCAGGAAACCGTATCCGATGGATCTCGAAGGATGATTTCCCCAAAAGTCTAGTCACACTTGAGCTCAAATCTAATCCACTAGTTGGCATCAAGCCAGGTGCACTACAGAATATGTCACGGCTTCGAAAGTTGTAAGTAGTATTTGCATGCTCGAGTTTTTACAGGAATGCTCATTTTACGTTTTCAAAGAATTCTTTCCGATGTTCGGGGCCTTCAAGAACTACCTCCACTAGATGGCTGCACTTCGCTGGAAGTGCTGCGGATCGATAGAGCCAACCTTACCAAACTACCTGATCATATTTGTAAGACTTCGCCACGCTTAAGGAGTTTGTAAGTATTTTAGCTTGTAAAAAATCATAAAACTTCAACAAATATATAACTATGACTTCTTTTTCATGCCTGCAGAGACTTGAAATCCAATAGATTGAGAAGCATTCCAAATGTGACAAACTGTCGTGATTTAAGAGTTTTGTAAGTTGATGCTCGTTCCAGATAGCTTTCGGGCAAGAAGTCAGAAGAAAGAATCCAAGAGCCATCCCTAATGAATGATTACCGTCATCTTTGCTCCACTTTCAGAGATTTAGCCGGTAATAGTATAAGCTCAGTGCACGGAGCCCCCTTCTCTAGTCTCGGCCAGCTGCACGATCTGCTGCTATCCAATAACGAAATCGAATCGATCCCGTACGATGCATTCGTTGGCCTCTCTCGATTGCAAGTCCTGTAAGTAAGCAAATAAATCACACCCGGAAGCAAAGGAAAATCTCCTGAACGAACGGGAATAGGAATGGGAACTGTGGCGCGAACTAGGCGAGATTAAATTGAATTTCTGCTTGTTTCTTTTTCGTTCCATAACAACCCACGCCAATTTCTGTCGTCTCTCTGGTGCCACCGGGAAAACAGCGACATAGAAGCAAACCGTATCTACTTCATTCACCAGGACACCTTCCGGCCACTAGTCAAGCTGGAAGATTTGTATGTCTCGTTGTTTGATCTGCGCTCTTCGGTAGTAAACCCACACATAACACCGTCCTTGTGTTCTTCTCGTTACAGAAACCTAGGGAATAATTTGTTTCCCCATCTGCCCACGGCAGGGTTGGCACGTCTACTACACCTGAAGACATTCAACAACCCTAACCTGAGAGAATTCCCTCCACCGGAGTCCTTTCCCCGTATTCAGACGCTTGCACTTTCCTACGCCTACCACTGCTGTTCGTTTCTGCAGCTGGTGGCGAGGGCTCCCAAAGTTTCTAAGCATCATCCCATCAAGGAGGAGGTCCTCTTTCCGATTGACAACGAGTTCGACATGAGTTTGTGGAATAATAGCTACAACGACATCTGGCCGCAATTGCGTAAGTATTGCGATCAATTGAATTTAATTGTATGTGAGTTGTGTCAGTCCCGGTCTCGGAGTAGCGAAATCTAACAAAATTTTCGAAGTATGTTTCTGAATACTTGTATGTTCCATGTCCGGGTAGAAAATTTGCTATTGATATCTAATGGTGATATGGATGAGCATGAGATAACAGGTAAAATGTCAAGAAATAATGATGTTTCAATACCAAACAAAGAACTTCACCAATTTTATTTTATTGATTTGATACCGTAATTGCTAATTTGATACTGGAACGATATTGTGGGAACAAAATTATAATGTTTTTGCCTCTTATGCAATGCATATCCACACTATTTTTTTAAAATTAAAATCATAATTTTTTACACTCTGAACACGACGCCTCCGGAAAAATGTGTACGGCAAACCTGTAATGTTTGAAAAATCATAGCTCAGCCATCTATTGACGAATTTTAAATCTACTGGCTCCATTTCAAACTTAAATTTTCAAGATCTATCAATAAATTTAAAGACCTATCAATAGATTTAAAATCTATCGTTAAATTACTGAGCAATGATGTTAAGAAATTTCCAATTTGCCGATACACATTTTACCGGAGGCTTCGTGTTTGGGAGTTAATGACTGAGATTTTTTCTTCTACCCGTGTTCAGAGCCGTCCGCTAATATTTGAATGGAAAATATTGAAAGCATTTATTCATTAACATTTTCCCCGATAGAATATTTTAAAAACAACCGATTGATGAATGTAAGCACTCATACTAACTTTTGGCGAAGAAAAACCCGAGGTACACGCAAGCTGATTAAGGTGAAAGTTGAAAGAATCCACAAATGGCCACTATTATGGTTATTTGGCCTTGCCTCTTCGTATGTTTGATGGCACCAAACTCTGAAACTATAAAGATTTCGTGTGAGAAATTATTACCACTCTTTTGCACTAACATTTGTTTTCTTTATTTAAGAGGTTTTCAGCCTAAAGGCTGGTTCACCTCTGATCACACACTAACATTAACACTAACCTTTATTCTCTTCGCGTTATTTTTCGATAATATTTATAATTTTTTCCTCATATTTTCAACGCAAAATTCCCTTAAAGCTATCTATCTTCGACTAACGATTTCAGCTATGCATGAAGAAAATTCACGTACACCTACAAACTCAAAATGCAATGAAAACTTATCCACCTCTTCCTTTTAATTTTCCAGACAATCTGAGCAAAAAGTTCGGCACCCAAATCAACGACCTGCTGCACGCCTACGGTCCCGAATACTATCCAGGCGGAATGCCAACCTATCCGGAGGAGTATTTCGAAGAGGAAGGTGGCGCCGGTCATCCAATCCCCACCGCACAACCAGGCACCATTCAGTGCGTTCCGGAGCCGGGTCCATTCATGCCATGTCAGGACCTGTTCGATTGGTGGACGCTCCGGTGCGGTGTCTGGGTCGTATTTCTTCTGGCGATGCTTGGAAATGGGACGGTCGTGTTTGTGCTCATCTTCTCCCGATCAAAAATGGACGTGCCACGATTTTTGGTGTGCAACTTGGCCGCTGCAGATTTCTTCATGGGAATCTACTTGGGATTTCTCGCGGTCGTAGATGCTTCAACGCTGGGTGAATTTCGCATGTATGCAATTCCGTGGCAGATGAGCGCTGGGTGTAAGCTATCTGGATTCCTGGCGGTGCTTTCATCGGAACTTTCCGTTTATACCCTAGCTGTGATTACCCTGGAAAGAAACTATGCAATTACCCATGCCATGCATTTGAATAAAAGGCTATCGCTGAGACATGCTGGCTACATTATGACCATCGGATGGACATTTGCCATTACGATGGCAATCCTACCCTTATTCGGCGTATCTGACTACCGAGTGTTTGCTGTTTGTCTTCCATTTGAAGTAACAAATGGAACCGGTAGCTTAGCCTACGTTGTATTCCTCATGTTTATCAATGGTGTAGCTTTCCTGACCTTGATGGGCTGCTACTTGAAAATGTACTGCGCAATCCGAGGTTCCCAGGCGTGGAACTCGAACGATTCACGAATAGCAAAGCGGATGGCTCTTCTAGTCTTCACCGACTTCATCTGTTGGTCTCCGATAGCGTTCTTCTCACTGACTGCCGTTTTTGGACTGCACCTTATCTCTCTAGAGCAAGCCAAAGTATTCACCGTGTTCATTCTACCTCTAAATTCCTGCTGCAACCCGTTCCTCTATGCCATTCTAACCAAACAGTTCAAGAAAGACTGCGTCCTTATATGCAAGGCAATTGAGGAGTCACGGGTGACGCGAGGTATCGGTCGCTGTCGTCACAGTTCCAACTTCAGCAATCGTCACACCCCGGCGAACACTAATTCGTTGGTGGAAAGATCTTCCCGCGAGCTTCCGCCGCTGCTACCTGGCCAAACGTGCAACTGTTCGGCGAAACTAATGGAGCAGGAAAACCTACGCCGGCGCCTTCAACAGCAGAGTACATTTTCCAAAACGTGGCGCCGGTTACTGTGTAACCTGGGTCAACGTAACGAAGGTCGTCGTGGCAGACGGAACGGTGACCAGTATGCTTATCAAATCGCAGAAATACAGCAGAAGCAGCACAAGCGTGCCGGGTCGGTATCGTCCAGTGAGAACTTTAGCTCATCCAGATCGGACTCCTGGCGACATGCTCAGCATCACTGCGGAATTCCACTGCGGCTGCTGGATCCCAGGCGGAGGCACACGTCGTGGTTGATCACGCGAAAGACCTCGCAGGATTCGAATCTGTCCAGCTCGCGCAACGATTCGTCCGGATCGACCGCCACGCAAAGCACCGGCACGTGGAGGATATCGCGATCCAGTGCCAGCAATTCGGTGGTGCTTCCCGGGCTGAAAGTCGATGGGATTGCACATCCACATCATACCAGTGAGTACAACTTTTTTAACGTTTTTTATTTTGTAGGTAGGGGAAATAGATGTAATGTCGGCCTAAATGCCCCTAATTTGGGCCCATACATAAATTCAGCAATCGAATAAATTTTCAATAGCGACCAATAATATCCATTAGTACCGTCCCAATGACGCGTTCAACTTGATAAAATTGATAAATAGCAGATTTTTAGCGATGGGCCCAATCTTAGATCCATTGGCCAACATTAGAGCCATTTCCCCTACATCTTGTTTTTTACGTGATTGATGTGTGCGCTATAAAAGTCGTACATGATTGTTTTGTGTGTAAGTATTTTATTACGTTGGATTAAAAAAAGTTCTTTTTTCAAACAGTATACACTAACAGCGTAGTTCGACAGTTTTTTCGTCAAACACTGAACAGCAGCATCGTGCCATTAAATATTCAACGTAGCTATTCAGCTAGTAGTAGTACTTGTATTTTGACGTATGAAAGTACTCAGGAATTTTTTTTAGATTGTGTCCCTTGCCGTTGATCAAATTTCATAAGGGTAGCGTAAAAGAGAAAGAAGTTTCGCAACAAATTTTTTCTATCATACATGATTTCTCTGACCCGGAGTGGGAGTTATTCCACCGACTACCCGACGCACAGTGGTCCAGAATTGTGAAAAGACAGTCAAAGATCATTATCTCGTGAATCTTACATTTTAACCAAGTACTGCCTTGGGGAAAGATTCTGGAAATGAAAATTTTATGTTGACATTGAAAGATCAATGAATAATCTTTCAGGAAGAGAGATCCAAAACTTTGTTTTCAAAAATTTCATATTCAGTAACGTTATCTTGGGTAAAGTTTTAGAAAATATCAATACCAGAAACTTTGCTGAAGACACTAGGTGTCCATTTCTTCATCTCATTGAAATATGGAATGTTTTTCATTGAAACCATAATAAATAATAAAAGTAATAACCATGTAACTATTTTCTATAATCTTTTACCCCCTCCTTGGCTAGTTTTTGCACCTTGCTGTTGGTGGGCGTGCTTAATTTCATGCTTTATATTGGAGTGTTGGAGACGGTTGGTTTATGGCCAACGTTGCTGCCTTATGCCGCGATAGAATTGCACCATGCGCAAGCAATGGGGATTACTAAGCTTCTGCTCTCTGATGAACCACTACATGAGAAACCAAAGATCTAGTCCAGCAGTGATAGTATCACACTTGTTACTCCTTTGTTTGAGAGCCGCGTCGTAGTACGCTTACGCATAGGAACTGACGTTGTATGTGATACTGGCGAGTTTTCCCGCAAATCACTCTTTTTTTTTTACGCAGATAAATTTATTTGGGTTTGCAAGGGAATTTTACTATTGAAATATTTCATAAAATGCCCAACAGTGCTCCTTCTATTTGCGTGACAAGCTTTCATTGTTGTTTTCTTTGAAGTATTACTCAGGGAACAATGTTAAACACCATTTTTGTACATGGTATTGTAACTAATCTCATACGTACTTCATTTTGATTTGGGATAAATGTTTGAACTTTGGCTCGGGATTTCCACTGTGGTGTGCTTCTATTGTGACATACCCATACGTATTTTTGTGGTGCGACATAGTGGAAACGTGTGAGCATAGTTGGACCATATATCCTATGTAATTTAAAAATCAGCTAGGAAACTAACTTCAAAGTGAAGCATTTTAGTCACTTGAAGGTGTCACCTGGAACGAACTAATATATAATAAATGGTCCGCGTTGACTATTCAGCCATTACCTTTATCTTCGGCATTGGATTGACTTGCGCTCCCATTGCTCCAGCAAACGCTGCAAAATGAAAATAAAAGCCAAAAGTACTTGAAACACGTTAAATTTTAGTTTACAAGCATGGGTTATGATTGTTTAGGTAGATTAGAGATCTCAGTTATGTAGTAAATAAGACTAAATATTCATCAAATGAACTTCAATAAGAAAATTCAGAAAGTCAATTGACATAAGAGATGAGACGTGGGGGTCCGCTTAGGGAAGAAACTGCCTTTAAAGTTGTATAATAAATCTTCCTATTTAGTATATTTGTTAAGTACAGGCAATGTCAATAGCGAAAGTCATATCTTTAGTCAGGCGCTTGCGAATAAGTTAAGTTTTAGGAAAGATGTTTTAAATATGTTGATAGGTTTGAAATAAGAATTAGGATTGTTGTGCTTTAGTTTTCGGTAAGGTATGATGTGTCAACTAAACCCTTTTGAGCAAATTTTCAAAACATTAATTGATTGAGTGATTTATTGAAAGACACCTTCACTGAAACATTGCGTTGCGTTAGAAAACAGTATTCTTCTCTAACGAAAATTGACAAGTCATTCATCTAACATAGTAGTAGTAGCAGTGTCACATAATCTAATCACAATTGCTGCAAATAGTGCTGGATGGGCCGGCAGGGCTGAATACGGATAAAAACTAACATAATTCTTAACACTAAATTGATCCCGGAACTAACACTCATCCATTGCACTTTTAGTTATATATTAGTTTTAATTTCCTACTTATATATCTATGCTTCTTTCTATTGTTTGGATCAAGTACAACTAATACTAATCTACCTTTATGTATGCTTTACGTGACATGAGACACGTACAAGCTGGAACTCAAAGAAATAACGCTATTTCAATGGAATAAGGAGAAGGAATAGAATTACTTCGAACAGGATATCAAACAAATTCATGGCCAATCCATTAAAGACCAGAAATCAACAAAGCATCTGTGAGTTGTATACTCGGAGAGGTATTTGATAAATAATCAAAAAGTGTAAGTTAAAATCATAGTGGAGCCAAGGACCATGAGAGGTAATTGTCAATAATTCATTATTTAGTAGAAATAACCATATCATCCTATAATTGATTTTACTATTTTTATATATCAATGAAATTAGTCATAACAGAGTAGCAGAACGAGTTTAAAAACAGATGGGGAAGGACAATAGACACAAGTTGACCCAATACACAAGACAAGTTGGAGTTAATACACAAGACAAAATGACAAAATAAGTGACGACAGAAGACAAGACTGGAACAAAAATCAACCTATAAAAAACAAGAATGCGCAATTATATTATCAAAACTATTTAGATCAACACAAAGACAACAGTGACCAAAGGGGCACCATAGCCTAGGAACGTCTGTGTGTTGTTTTAAATAGAGGCTCATAGAAGCAAAATTTATCAATAAAAGGGGTCCAGTGTAGAGTTTAAACAAGTGTATGCTGCCACTGTGATCAATACAAAAAAAAATAATCTATAATCTCCTACTGATTAAAAATATTCCACAAAGTCTGTTGTTCAAACCATAAATACACATATATTTGTTGAATATTATATCCATGCATGGCATACACAGTTTTGGTAATTAACTGCTCATTTGCTAATAACTTTGCACACAGTTGACGGAACATAGTTCTTTTTGAAGCAGTAGAATAGAGTGTAAGCTTGTTATAGATATGTAAAAAAAGTAGATTTTTTAAATATCCACCATTATCCAAAAAGTGGATAATTTAAATATCCACCTACTCTCTTCTAAAAGATCATTCTCTAGCAAATAAATTATCACACTAAAGCTTCATGTTAGCATTTCCAACCAACTCTGAAAATTGCTAACTTCGCGTATGAAGTAACATAAAAACACTTCGAATGTGACAACTCAAGGCGGGAGTAGCCGTCAACAATGCTGATGATGGTACAGCACGCAACAACTACCCTACTGCTTTCTCTTTGAGATGATCACGTTGGTCATGACCAGAGGAGCAACACAATAGTTGGGTTACAGTCCGCATCGTGCTCTCTTGCCGTGCGGATCTATTTGCTTTTTGCTTAAGGAAGTGTTACTACTACCTAAAGCTACAACAAATTTAAACAGCACTTTTCAGTGCTCAACCTGTAAAAATTTTCTACCTTGTTCAACTCTTATTCCTCTTCTATCCTTGTTTGGACCCTACCCGAGGTAATCCTTCTTGGATATCGAATTGGAAAATTCCTCTTCGATCCTTCAGATTATTATAGTAATCTGCTTGGAGGTCGATTTGGATAAAAATTTACTGCCGCCATGGCGCCTAAACGCAAAAGAAAGGGGCAAACTCTTGACCCCCCTTCTGATGAAATTAATTTGAGTAATCAATTTGATTTATTCACGGATGATGAGAATGATCCATCATCCAAGAAAAATTCTAGTAAACTTTCCCGGTTTAATGCCAAGAAGGAAAAGATTCCCCCTATTGTGATAACCACTGCCGATTTCCATGCTCTTCGCATGGAACTTTTGAATTTCGTGAAAGTTAAGTTTTCACTACAAATTGGACGTCGGGGTGAATGCCGTGTATTGGCTGAAACCTTGGACGGATTTAAATGTCTTCTCAAGTATCTTGCTGAGAAGAAGCACAAATTTTTTACTTACGACACCAAAACTGAACGTGTGTTCAAGGTTGTCATGAAAGGACTGCCCAGTGGTGAATCCTTGGATCAGATCAAAGATGAACTGGCAAAATTACTTGGAGTTGTGCCACTCCAAGTAATCAAAATGAAAATGAAATCCCGTCCTGGCGATTCGCGCAACGGGATTTCTAATGATTTTTATTTAGTTCACTTCAAGTCTAGTGAACTAAACAACCTTAAGACCTTAGAAAAAGCTAGCCTTATGCTCCATGTTCGAGTGAAGTGGGAACACTTCAGGAAGACTGGAGGAAATTTCCAAAACCTCACTCAGTGCCGTAAGTGCCAGGGATGGGGTCACGGAACTAAAAATTGCTACATGCCAGCTAAATGCATGAATTGTGGTGATTCCTCTCACGCAAAGGACGACTGTCCTGTGAAGGAAGATCCTAAGAAATTTAAATGTTCAAATTGTGGTGAAAACCACAAATCCAATTTTTGGGAATGTAAGACTCGCAAAGCGATCCTACAATCTTGTTCTAACCGTCAGGTAGGAAACGCTCCACGTTTCCGACCAGGTACAAATTCCTCTGCTGTTAACAACGGTCAGCGAGGAA